ATAATTTGAAGTACTCTCTAAAATAAGGTCTGAGAAAACTATGAGATTTCAAGAAAAAAGTTCAAAAGACTTGACATGAAACAATAATGGTGCCCTTTAACACTACAGTAATCAGGAAATCGCTGCACAGGTAAGTTTCTAACATCACAAATTCATTCAATACTCTACAGAAATGCTGTGGGTCTTCGAGCACACTGGTCTAGGGCTGCCAAAACATCATGTTTTTGCCTTACATACAGCCTACCCTTCCGCCAGGGGTTTTGTAATTGTAAGGGCTTGAAATCATCACGAAGACACCGTTCACGGGCACCAATCACAGCAACTAGGCAAAAGTTTTCCAGTCGATCATCAGGGTAAACAGGACCTCCCTTCCCTTTCAGCACAGCCGCAAGATTCAGCTGCTTTACAACTAAGTCCACAACTTCGCGAGCAGAAGTTTGAGGAGTAACATGGACCTTCAGGCTCGTGCCGGAGGCAAGGCCAGTCTTGTAGGCTGCATACACCTGGAACAGTCACAAACATTTTATTAAAGTCTATCAGTAAATGCAGATTGAAAACTGAGACGATTAAGCACAAACATAGTGAAACAATGTACAATAAATGTGGAAAACAAATTTATCTAAAATTGTTGGATAATTAGAAAGTTTACATAAGTTTAGATTCAAAATATCCATAAGATGCAGTTATTGGACAGCTATGAAGAGAGCAAATGTACTGTGGGGTGTCAGCATTCAGTGATTTTGAAGTGTTTATAGAGGCTCATCAGGGCTTGGCCACCACTCTCACCACCTTACCCAGCTCAAAATTCATATGGGGCCCAGGGTCCCAAATTGTGGAAATCCATGAGATCCAATTAGTTCCTAAAACATTTTTAGGGTCCCCATGGGTTCCAAGTAAATTTTGAGACTGACATGCAGTACATAATGTTTGTTTCTACACTGACTTATCAAATATACCAACCTCCAACAACATCCTCAATTTGAAGGCTTGGAAGAAAAAGCCAAGAACACATTACCATTTGGGAAGTAGATTAACAATTAATAAATCAGTAGAATACCCTTGACAAAATTTTACAAAATATAAAATGGCTTGTATAAGTAGCAGGGAAGTTCAAGTTAAACTTTCTTGATTCAGAAAAGTACTACATTGTAAATCAAATACTAAGCAAAAAGCACAAAAACTGAAAGAGATTCAATTTAAGGATTTTGATTGAAAAAGAGCATTTTGCTTAAGTCTGGGGGAGGCTGGTTTCCTTAGAGAGGAAACAAGTGTTGATGCAAATTACCTGGAGAATTCCAGATGATGGAATGGGCACAATAACTGAGCCTGCTCCACTCTCATCATCCTCGTCTTCTGCAGGGTTCCTATTTCCGACACTGCCAATATTGACAACGGCCGAATCCTCAGAAGATAAGGAATGCTGGCTTTCACTGGTTGCAGTAATGTTTCCTCCACTCACTCCACTGCCAGTACTCATTCCACTAACACTTATAGCACTTCCAACAGGCTGGTTGCTTGCACCATGAATGGAGGAACGAACAGAAAGAAGAGGAGAAGTTGTTGCCGATACACTGGCAGTGAGGACAGATGATCGACTACGTTGGTGGCCCAGTGAATGAACCCGTTGAGACGCAGACATGAGCAAAGTGTCTTCACTACGTGAATTTGGTAAACCTTTCAAAGAGCCTGAGAACAAGAAATGAGAAAAACTGTCATAACAAGAAACAATTTAAATACAGTCCATTTCTAACAAAATCGAACATACTTGGAGAATTATTTCCGCCTAATGTTGCAGAGCATATACTTGAATTACTATAGGCTGGACTGGCAGCCCTGACCCCAACAGAGCCTACACTACCAGCACTCCCTTTCCTTGGAGTTCCACTAACAACAGGGGCAGACCCAGCTGATCGTGGATTGGGAAGAGGTGGAGGAGGGGACAGAGACAAGGTAGCTACAGCAATGCTAGGAGAGGCAATAGTTGTGGTAGAAGCAGTGTTTCTACTAGTATTCAACTGCTGCTCGCTCTTGCTGAATTCAGTGGCAAGTAAGCATGGAGCCCCACTGACACCAGGACCAGGCCAGCTTCCCCGACTTGCACTTGACTTTACAAGCTTTTGATCTCGCGGCGGTAGCTGAAGGAGACTACGCTTCACGCCTAAAGAGCCACCTGTAAAAAACGCAGCTTAGTTGTACATGCAACAACAAAAAAAAAATCTATCATTTTCTAACAAAGACCTAGCACTAGTCAGAGTGTTTAGATGGAGACTTACCATCCTTTCCTTTGCTAGGTGCCCCTATTGCTAAAAGTGTTCTCATGGGTATCCCTGGTGGACCACCATGAGGCTGTGAACCTCGATCTCTTGTAAATGTGACAAGATCCATGAGCCATCTAATTCCTTTCTTCACTGCATTAAGCTGTGAGTCAATTTCTTGAAGTTTCCACAAACGTTCTTTAGCTTGAGAGACTTCAGCAGTTGAGAAGGCCTTGAAACAAAATGAACATATTACTATTAAACTTGGCTATATTTAACAATGTGGATTCAGATCAATGTTATAGCAAAATGTAAAATTTGCGATTCATATTTGAATCTCACCTCTCTTAAACTATGTTGAGCAAGAAGCATGTCTAGTTCAAGGATGCACGAGAGACGAGAGTAGCGAGATATAACATTATGTTGATATGATGCCAAATGTACCATTTCAAAAACTTGTACTGGTAATGATAAAAGGTCTCCTCTTTGGAGAAGCATATCTCTTTGACCAGGGACAGCACAAGCGCTTTCAGCAGGTGGGACAGCAACCAAGAAAGACACCTCAGGTGTTAGGTCCACAACTTCAACATCATAGAGTCTGAAATTTTTAAAACAACATAAGACAATAGATAGATGAAAATGAAAGGTAAACTAAATCCCAACTGTAAGTTAAGACACTATTCTATTTCCTCACCTGTGTAAATGCGATTCCTCAGAATTAATTTCCATATATGAAAAAAGTCGTCTGGCAGTGGATGCAACCAAATCAACAAATACTCTTTGTTGTTCAGACTGGAATGTATTGGCTACTAATTGATCAATTGAAGACTGATTTTCTTCAGAATTGTCTTTTTCTGTTTGAATTGCTATTGCTGCACTTAATTTTCCTCGTAAATGCTTCAGGCCTTCCCATTCCTCTCTGTGATGGAAAATATTCATTATCAGTTCACAAAAAATAATATGTTTTTCAACTTTAACATTAAGTCAACTTTTTTTATTTGGATACGTACGCTGACACATGGGGATTGTCACGTATTTTGCAATGAGGTAATACATTTGGTGTTTTAGAAGGAACTACAACTTGAATGAGATCAACTGAACTGTGCATTTTCAAGTAACCAAGATAAAGTCCTCGAGACAATCTTATGCTGCTGACCTGGTGATACATAATTTGCTCCTGAAAAATAAACAATCGAAGAAGTAAGACAGAGGTTCGGGCAAATTAAATTAACTCGGTAATAAAAAGTGCACATTTAATTTTACCTGAATTGATGCCATAAGAATTTCCCCAACATTAGGATCATCATGATTTGAAGCTTTCTTTACTACTTTCCCAATGGGCAACCAGCGAGAGTTCAGAACAGAGACTGATTTTGGAGATCTAACATAGTTAACCATTGATATTACCAAGGTTCCTTGGGAATCTCTTAAAGGTCTGTGATAAAGTTGTCCTAGGTCTTGAATACAAAGAGCAGTCTGAAAATTAAACGCAGTTGATGAATTTACTGCTCCTTATATTAATGGAGAATCAAATAAGAACTAAGAAATACTGTCAGAGAACATGAATGTGATTTTACCTGCATCTGGGCTGCAGCTTGAAGCAGTTTAATGAGAAAGTGAATGGATGAGGAATTTAAAGACTTCTCCATATCCTGACGTAACGACTTTACATCATCCCAGGTACATGCCACCTAATACAGAATTTTAGAGATTATCAGAAACATAGTACATCAAAAAACATACTAAATAGAAAATTAAATTTTCTTTTACCTTCATGAGCCAGTGGAAATCATTATAAATACAACTGGGATAGGTTTCATCTACTTCAATGACAGGCAAGAAATCTTCATTTGTTACAAGAACCCTGTCTTCATGATACAGTATACAGGACAAATAAACACCTCTGAAAAGAAAAAGCATGGCTTCTTTTACAAATATATCCTTTACTCATTTTTAAATGTGGTGTATGTTCTCTGCAACCTCACCTCCGCAAATTCTTTTGAAATTTTGATGCTGCAGTAAACAATTGTTTTATGGTAGTTTTTTTCCGTCTTTGAACATTAGGAGTTTCACCGCCAGGACTTGAAGATTCTTGAATATCTTTTATCTCTGCGGCAAACTCTGGTCGAGCTTTGCGCATTTCAGTAAACAAATTATCTAGAACTCTTAAACTTACTCCTGTGAATCTAGCTTCTCGACCATCCACATCTCTCCAACCTAAAATATAAAATAGTTCATTTAACTTCAAACTTTATTTTATTTTATTTAGTCAGAGGGAAAAGTAAACAATGAACAAAAACTTACTGGAAGGGACAACTGAAGGAGGAGTAGACAGAACAAAATTGCTGTATCCTTTCAAATTTCCACAGGCAACACGGAAGTAGTACCGTTGTCCTTGAATTAGGTCACTTATGTGACATTCAGAATAAGTTACATCTAACACCTCTCTTTCACCAGCCAGATGATTAAAATCTG